CCATCTCTCTTCACCACGCTAACAAATCAACCACTCCCATTTGGACAGGGCGTATGAATATTGTATCCCACACATACACGGTACATCCATCTCTCTTCACCACGCTAACAAATCAACCTCTGCTATGTGGACAGGGCGTATGAATATTGTATCCCACACATACACGGTACATCCATCTCTCTTCACCACGCTAACAAATCAACCACTGCTATGTGGACAGGACGTATGAATATTGTATCCCACACATACACAGTACATCCATCTCTCTTCACCACGCTAACAAATCAAACCTCTGCTATGTGGACAGGACGTATGAATATTGTATCCCACACATACACGGTACATCCATCTCTCTTCACCACGCTTGTATCAACATACACGGTCAACTCTCTTCACTATGTGGACAGGACGTATTAATATTGTATCCCACACATACACGGTACACCCATCTCTCTTCACCACGCTAACAAATCAACCTCTGCTATGTGGACAGGACGTATGAATATTGTATCCCACACATACACGGTACACCCATCTCTCTTCACCCCGCTAACAAATCAAACATCTGCTATGTGATCAGGACGTATGAATATTGTATCCCACACATGCACGATACACCCATCCCTCTTCACCGCATTAACAAATCAACACCTGTTATGTGGACAGGACGTGTGAATATTCTATCCCACACATACACGATACACCATCTCTCTTCACCACATTAACAAATCAAACCTCAGCTATGTGGACAAGACGTATGAATATTGTATCCCACACATACGCGATACACCAATCTCTCTTCACCACGCTAACAAATAAACCTCTCCTGTGTGGACAGGACGTATGAACATTGTATCCCACACATACACGATATACCATCTCTTTTCACCACACTATCAAGTGGCTAAGGAGACAGGCACCCCCATAGTGTACACCATTCAATACATTATATTCGCTCATATGATAGATGCATTTCTAAGTGAGTGCTATATTTTGGATCCTGAATGTCCTCTAGCTTAAATATTAATTTAAACTCTTCATTACTCCCAGTTGCATTGTTGTATAACATTGCTGGCAAAACCACGGACGGCTGAGTGAATATCTAACGGTCAATGGTTTATAACTGGCTGATCAGCATCCGTCTGTGGTGTCATTTGTAGTAGATCATTCACAGTCGAATCTGATAGTTGTTTTGTTTGTTGTTTAACATCACACTTAGCAATTTTACATGTATATCACGGTAGTACGTACATACTCGATTCTGGACCAGACGATCGCGTGACTGCCATAAGGAGCATTAATCTACGCAACTGGGATACGATGACATGTGTCAACCAAGTCAGCGGGCCTGACCACCGATGCCGTTTGTCGCCTCCTACGACAAGCATGGGTTCAAAACACTATACAACTGTATTTTACTCTCCTTGAGAACAGTTGCTTTCAATTTTAGTTCACCTTGAAAGTGTATGATATTCACCAGTGACTGGGTCCTGCAAAACAGTTTCTAACAGTTTGCGATTATATTCAGACACGTTTACAGAAGCGTTTATTGGATTATATTATTTATTGATGACACCATGAAAGTACAATTACAGTTTGAAGACAAAATAAATCATATAACACAAACATAATTTTGAAATTGTTATTAAATACCGTGCTGATAGGGAGATAACATATTTCCTTTTGTTTTCGTGTTCTTGCTGTTATTAATGCTATAGCCCCATTACTGACAATCGGTGTCAGACTCTGTAACTCGAAGTTGATCATTATCAGTCGGAGCTGATCAATGTTAGTCAAAGGTGATCATCATCAATCAAAGGCTGATCACTGTTTGTCGACGGTGATCATCGTCAGTCGAAAATGATAACTGTTAGTCGAAGGTGATCATCGTCAGTTAGATGCTGATCAATGTAAGTCGAAGGTGAACATCGTCAATCGAGGGCTGATCAATGTTTGTCGACGGTGATCATCGTCAGTCAGGGCTGATCAATGTTAGTGGATGGTGATCATCGTCAGTCAGGGCTGATCAATGTTAATCGATGGTAATCATCGTCAGTCGGAGCTGCTCAATGTTAGTGGATGGTGATCATCGTCAGTCAGCTGCTCAATGTTAGTGGATGGTGATCATCGTCAGTCATCGGGCTGCTCAATGTTAGTGGATGGTGATCATCATCGTCAGTCAGGGCTGATCAATGTAAGTTGATGGTGATAATCGTCAGTCAGGGCTGATCAATGTTAGTGGATGGTGATCATCGTCAGTCGGAGCTGCTCAATGTTAGTGGATGGTGATCATCGTCAGTCAGGGCTGATCAATGTTAGTCGATGGTGATCATCGTCAGTCGGAGCTGCTCAATGTTAGTGGATGGTGATCATCGTCAGTCAGGGCTGATCAATGTTAGTGGATGGTGATCATCGTCAGTCGGAGCTACTCAATGTTAGTGGATGGTGATCATCGTCAGTCAGGGCTGATCAATGTTAGTGGATGGTGATCATCGTCAGTCGGAGCTGCTCAATGTTAGTGGATGGTGATCATCGTCAGTCAGGGCTGATCAATGTTAGTGGATGGTGATCATCGTCAGTCGGAGCTACTCAATGTTAGTGGATGGTGATCATCGTCAGTCGGTGCTGCTCAATGTTAGTGGATGGTGATCATCGTCAGTCAGGGCTGATCAATGTTAGTGAGGTAAGGTGAGGTGAGGTGAAATTGAGTTTAACGTCGTGCTTGAGAATATTTCGCTCATATGATGACGTGCATGCGTGTGTATGTGTATGTGCGGCTGCTTGTACTAGCCCTGACTTAAGCTGGTTGTATAGTGCTAGCTCACTGAGATACCATGCCGCTGTGAAGCATGAATACCCCACTCAGACACAGTATACTGACTCCGAGCCGACCAGTCCTTGTTGTACCCATTAATGCCGAGCGCCAGGCAGGGACCAACAAGTACCATATTTTAACGTCTTTTGGTATGACGCGGTCGGGGATCGAACCCGCGACCTTCCGCTCTCCGGGCGGACGCTCTAACCACTACACCACGGAGGCGGTCACAATGTTAGTGGATGGTGATCATCGTCAGTCAGGGCTGATAAATGTTAGTGGATGGTGATCATCGTCAGTCGGAGCTGATCAATGTTAGTGGATGGTGATCATCGTCAGTCGGAGCTGATCAATGTTTGTCGACGGTGATCATCGTCAGTCGGAGCTGCTCAATGTTAATCGAAGGTGATCGTCGTCATTCAGGGCTGATCAATGTTAGTCGATGGTAATCATCGTCAGTCGGAGCTGCTCAATGTTAGTCGATGGTGATCATCGTCAGTCAGAGCTGCTCAATGTTAGTGGATGGTGATCATCGTCAGTCAGGGCTGATCAATGTTAGTCGATGGTGATCATCGTCAGTCGGAGCTGCTCAATGTTAGTGGATGGTGATCATCGTCAGTCAGGGCTGCTCAATGTTAGTCGATGGTAATCATCGTCAGTCGGAGCTGCTCAATGTTAGTGGATGGTGATCATCGTCAGTCGGAGCTGCTCAATGTTAGTGGATGGTGATCATCGTCAGTCAGAGCTGCTCAATGTTAGTGGATGGTGATCATCGTCAGTCAGGGCTGATCAATGTTAGTGGATGGTGATCATCGTCAGTCGGAGCTGCTCAATGTTAGTGGATGGTGATCATCGTCAGTCAGAGCTGCTCAATGTTAGTGGATGGTGATCATCGTCAGTCGGAGCTGCTCAATGTTAGTGGATGGTGATCATCGTCAGTCAGGGCTGATCAATGTTAGTGGATGGTGATCATCGTCAGTCGGAGCTGCTCAATGTTAGTGGATGGTGATCATCGTCAGTCAGGAGCTGCTCAATGTTAGTGGATGGTGATCATCGTCAGTCGGAGCTGCTCAATGTTAGTGGATGGTGATCATCGTCAGTCAGGGCTGCTCAATGTTAGTGGATGGTGATCATCGTCAGTCGGAGCTACTCAATGTTAGTGGATGGTGATCATCGTCAGTCAGGGCTGATCAATGTTAGTAGATGGTAATCATCGTCAGTCGGAGCTGCTCAATGTTAGTGGATGGTGATCATCGTCTCTCAGGGCTGATCAATGTTAGCCTCTGTATGTGTTATATGGTGAAACTGGAAGAAACCTTTTAGATCTCGAAGTGCAGTCTACCATGGCCATGCACTGGGCTAAACGTTTATAAAAAAAACAAAAGGCAAAACATATACAAGGCTATTGTGTGAAACATATGAATTACAAACCTGGAAATAAGTGGCTCAATTACATTCAAAAAATATTTTCCAGACAAATACAATAATACCTACATTTTTTACTTTGGACATTTGGAAACAACAGAAAAACAAATAACCTGAAATTCATAAGAAAACAAAAAAATGCCCTGAAAACAAATAAATCCAAATCTGGTGCATTTTCACACACACACGGACTATATATATAAGATAATCAAAGATATCCTATGAAAAATGAATATTATTTACAAAATCTGCCCAATATGTGTATTTATATATACATTAACACAATTCAGTTTTTCTAACCACCGACTACTAGTTGAGCTTGGTCGGTGGCATCATATAGAGAGAAAATAGAGAGAAAATGTCTCTGACGCCAAACACATGATACTGGAAGCACCTGTCACAACCTGTTTATAATACCATTAAATGAAGAACCCAAACCCTCCTAGATATCGCCGTTACATCACCAACAAGTTTAAGTGATATGTAATCTGCCGCCATATGTCTGTATGTTAATCTCTGATAAATACCTCATTGTGCTATTCTTAGCATATAAGGTGAATACGGTTCTGTTCTGCTGAAAGAGTGGGCTGGGTGGAATTTAGTGTGTTTTGATAGCAGTTCGTTAAGTTATTTTAAAACTGACGAAAACTCCATTTATTTACACAACCGCACATTCTCACTTTGAAGACAAACCAAATCATTTTATGAATTTATCAATAATAAACTAATACTTTGGGCCAAGTTTGAAATCATACCGCAGTTACTTCCCCTGTCGACCTTGCGATGTAAGGAAACCAGACAGTTCCCTGTATGATTTTCTGTTCGCAATTTCAGCTGCTGTCTCTCCGTCCTTGGTCCTGGCGTTGACATCAACAATATCTTTAGAAAGAATATGCTTCACCAACTTCATCAGTCCTTCATGGCTGGCGAGGTGAAGGATGTTGCGACCATCGTCATCAACTACCGATGCATCACCTCCTTTGCTCATTATAAAGTCAAACAACCCTATTTCTCCAAACATTGCTGCAAACATCACTGGAGTCCAACCGCTAGGTCCCCTGCTGTTGATGTCGGTAAAGTTCTGTGAGATGATATACCTCACCATCTCCAGGTTTTCTGATTGAAGGGCCAAATGAAGAATGTTGTTACCTTGACCATCAACTGCCGTTAAATTACAACCAGCGCAAACGCATAAGTCAAATATTTTCCTGTTTCTTGCAAGTAATGCGAACATCAGAACTGTTTTACTGTCTTGTCCCCTGCTATTTACGTCTACAAGGCGCCGTGAGATGATATACTTCACCATCTCCACGTGTCCTCCTTTACAGGCGATATGAAGAATGTTGTCCCCTACTTGATCTACCATGGACACATTACTTCCGGTGTTGACAAGAAATTTAAAAAGTTCCCTTTTTCCCCTATGTGCCGCTATCATCAAACATGTCCTCCCTTTCTGTCCTCTACTGTTGATGTCCACGGAATCAAGCTTGAGGACATGCTTCACCATCGCAACTTGTCCTCCATAGCAGAACATATGAAGAACGTCAAGAATGGACATATTGCATACTTTACTTTTTAGAAGGTCAAACACATCAATATGTCCTCTTCGTGCTGCCAGCATCACTGGTGTCCTTCCGTTCCCCCGTTCTCCCCTGTTGAGGAAAACTTGACCCTTGGACAAGATGTCCCTCACCCGACTCAAGTTTCCCTCTCTGCAGGCTTGGAATAAGTTTTTCCCTTGCCTTTTCTTCTTGTCTGTTCTCTGCTGTTGGGATCTCACAGGGTGAAACGTCTTCCAAGCTGGAGTGAAATGTTTAACCGGCATGGTTTTATTTTTAACATGGTTGTGTTGATGTAAAGGTAAGGATTTGTCAGGACAGATACCGAACAGTGATTTTTCTTAGGTATACTTTAAATGCTTCGAATAGATAGATATATATATATAGAAAGGTGGTAGAGAATCTAACTCATGTTAGGACATATTTCCAGTAATTGCTACAATTAGGAGATAAACATCATGTGTTGGCGAGTTTCCGGGTGTTATTGAGTATTTAAAGCACGGGAATTCATTTGGAACCGACGGCGTTAGCCGAAGGTTTCAAATGAAATATTCCCGTGCTTCAAATACTCAATAACACCCGGAAATTCGCCAACACATGATGTTTATCGACATTGTAAACACAAAAGTAAACCGAAAGGTCCACACACGTTTTTTGTGTCTGCTCTCATTGACATCGAGTACGGGTACAGCAGTGAAATGTCATCAGCCGGCCGTTTCGGCTGTCTCCCATGGTTGCATCTGGAACTGCTCATTTGTGACGTCATTCGGACTTTACGTCACAATATGATTTTAATGACGTCATCACAGCTGACGACGTAACAATACAATGGTGTGATCGATGTTTGTATGTATTAATACGCAGAGAATTTCCGGGAATCAAATACCATTTGATCACGTTTTTCAACCAATCAGATTAAAGAACACAGTGACTTTTGGTTTACAATGTATAAAATTATATTCGAGACTGCGGATATTCCTTGGGAGTTGGCATTCTTCCAAAGAAAATCAATTAACAAATGACCATGCAAACTTCTATAATTGAATGAACAATTCCACTCTGAATTAAATGAGCTCATAGAAACCACTCAAGAAGTAATGGAAGACAATTACCTTTCACACAGACAGCTTTTCCTGATCGACTCTGCAAACACCTGGCACCAAGGCTGCAAGACGTACCATCGCAGGAACCCGGGGGTACCTTTAGACAGAAGTGAACACGACCATGAACGACTGTGCGCGAACCCGCGAAGACCCGGGTTAAAGTTGGGCCTCAGCAACACATGCTTGTCGTCATCATTTGGTCAGCTGTGAAATGTCTGGTGTTCCCTCGGTTAGTTGGTTTGTTGTTTAACGCCACACTCTGTAATATTCCAGCTATATGGCGGCGATCGGTAAATAGTCGAGTCTGGACCAGACTCAGTCTTTATATTTGAACAGTTTTTCATTCTTTTCTCGAGGTTATACGTGAATACATTGGTATGAGCAGTGTTTGGAATTGTCCATAAGCGTTTCAATCTGACTTTGCTTTCAGATGAAAATTTAAGGTATTATATTTTAACACACACACACATTGTAGACGTACATTGTACATAATTACTCTGAGGACAAAATGCGATAAATGTTTATAACGCAACAGAGAATTGGAATTTTAACACAATAATGCATTCAACTATGTACAGCTTGTTCAGTTTGACCTGATCAAGTGAATACTAATGTATTGCGTGACCGTGTTACAACTGGTTGGGTCTATTGTTGTGAAGGGGTGCACCTTTATCAGTTGATTGTCAACATGTCCAAACAGCCGACACAAGGTCGCCGCTTGACATCTCAGTGTCGAGAAATCGTCAGCAATGTCCTAACTTTCTTTTGAAAAGAAGCTACAGATGGTTTAACGTTTCCGATTCGGGCTTTTAGGCATTATTCACATTCTCTGCTCCCCTATTTCATGAAGTTAACTCGACCTGCCGTTTGTGCCATTTGACCTCCCGGGATAAGCATATGTAGAGTAGCTCAGGTCAAGCTGAACACCCTGTACTTTATATGAGTGAGCAGTGTATGGGGGGTGAGTGAGTTAGTTGGGTTTTACGCTGATTTTGACATAGACCAGCACCATGAATGGGCTTCAAACATTGTGAAGAATTAAATTCCATGACAAATACACAGTGAGTGTAGTTTTACGCCGCCTTTGCACTATTCAAGCAATATCACAGGGGGAATCAAAAATGGGCTTCACACATTGTACCTATGTTGGGATTCGAACCTGGAGTCTTCGGTGTGCCGAGCGCACTCATCACCCATTAAGCTACCCCACTGTTTGACAGATACATTCGACTTACATCTGAGGGAGCCTTGAGAGGATTCTTTAATCCTTTCTTCTTCTCCATTCGATTCGATTCGCCAACTCGTAGACGACAAGTTAAAGTGTCCAAATCGTAGTTGAAGGTCCAACAGCCTCCGGTCTCAACACATTTCACTTGGCACATCTTGATGCCAATGTTCCTGATAATAATAGGACTCTCTTCCTGTGATGTTAAATCACCGCTCGGCTTCGTGGTGGACGTGGCCAGAACCAACACGGAGCATATAACTGCAGACAACAGCAGCAGGCCTCGGAAGACCCCTGAGGACACGGGATTCATGGTCAAGTGGTCACAGAAGCTCATTAGATATCAGATAATATGCCGCTACAGCAATACGCAGCTACCGACTACAGGCAGATGAAAAAAACACACGACTGATCTCCAGGACCAAAGCGCCTTTCGCATTTATACTGGACTCAAGACGAGATCAATAAAGAAAGGTACATTCTGGAACATTACGGAATCCTAGAAGGGACATTGTCGCGTTTTCTCGCCTTGATTATTTTTGACACTTTGTGCTTGTTTTTGTATTATTTATTATGTATCTTGTATGTGATCACATTCTAAATGGAGTGGTGGGGTAGCCCAGTGGTTAAAACGTTCGATTGCATGCGTCGTTAATTCTATATTTGCGCGTCGTTTTGCAGACAACACGGGTGACGGAAACAAGATCGTAATTTCGAGCAAGATGTCACCGTACCATTTGTTTGTTTCGTTGTTTAACGTTGAAGTCAGAGTAGCACCAAGTAATATTCCAGTGATACGGTGGTGGTTTGTATTCCGTGTTGAGATTAAACCAAAAATATCAGTGATTGATGTAATGATGAACCCCTAAAGCATTCGAGGTTGCATGACACGCGTACCGAGCCTGACCATCCAATCCACCAAGTCGTCTTTTATCACAAACATAGTTTCCTGGGGATCTGTTTTATGTGTATCAATAGTTTCTGAAACACACATGTATATTATAAGTAATTAAAAGAAGATAATGTTGCTTAACCATTTCACCTGCGTGAATTAGCTTAACGCTGCTTTAGAACAGCCGTTCAGTGACGTTTTAGTGTGTCAGCTTGATGTGAGTGAGTATGGTTTTACGCCGCTTTGAGCAATATTCCGGCAATATCACGGAGGGGGACACCAGAAATGGGCTTCACACATTGTGCTTATATGGGGCATCGAACCCGGGTCTTCGGCGTGCTGAGCGAACGCTTTAACCACTAGGCTACGCCACCGCCCCGTCAGCTTGACGTGACAGGTATAGGATGTAAACATGAGACGGAGGGTCCCTGAGAAGTATTGCCAGTGTTAGCACATCCTGACTTTAGTCTTAATGGTTCTGCATTTGTTGTTCAGACAGACGCCAGTGGAACGGGTGAAGCGGGTGATCATCCCATTTGCTTAAAAAAAGTTGTCAGAAACTGAACGGAATTATTCCACTGCACACAGGGAAGCTTTGGCACTTATCTGGGCAGTACGGAAGTTTAGAGAATATATTAATGGTAGGAAGTTTATAATCAAAACAGAGCATAGGCCCTTGACATTTATTAAATGCGCAAGATGGTATTTAGAACTATCAGATTATTTGTTAAATGTGGAATATATACCTGGGAAACATGACATTCCAAGTGACATTCTGTCAAGATTTGCCGTGGAGGATTCGGAGGAATTACCAATCTGTGCCATATCAACATAAACAGTATGATGTTATCAAGCGTACTCAGGATCCTGCTCATTTTGGTGTGATACGTACATGGAATTTAGCAAGGATGACTGACAAGCCCATTACATGAAGACAGGTTCGAGAAGACGCCAGTCAGTATACAGCATGTATAGAAGGCCCTCATGCTGTGCCGCGGAGTCCCATATGTGTAACTCGGACAGCTTCAGTACCATGGCAAACTATCCACTGTGACTTTGTCGGACCGCTCCCTACGTCATCGACAAGTTGTGAATAGGTGTTGACATGTTTGGATGATCTGACACAAATGGTGTTTGAGTTTCCTGTACGATCAGCTACCTCTGCGTCAGTGAGTGAGTGAGAGAGTTTAGTTTTACGCCGCACTCAGCAATATTCCAGCTGTATGGCGGCGGTCTGTAAATAATCGAGTCTGGACCGCCGTGATATTGCCGGATTATTGCTAAAAGCTGACACACTAAAACGTCAGTGAGAGATGGGTGTACCGTGTATGTGTGGGATACAATATTCATACGTCTTGTCCACATAGCAGAGGTTGACTTGTTAGTGTGGTGAAGAGAGATGGGTGTATCGTGTATGTGTGGGATACAATATTCACACGCCCTGTCCACATAACAGAGGTTGATTTGTTAGTGTGGTGAAGAGAGATGGGTGTACCGTGTATGTGTGGGATACAATATTCATACGCCCTGTCCACATAGCAGAGGTTGATTTGTTAGTGTGGTGAAGAGAGATGGTGTACCGTGTATGTGTGGGATACAATATTCATACGTCCTGTCCACATAGCAGAGATTTGATTTGTTAGTGTGGTGAAGAGAGATGGGTGTACCGTGTATGTGTGGGATACAATATTCATACGCCCTCTCCACATAACAGAGGTTGATTTGTTAGTGTGGTGAAGAGAGATGGTGTACCGTGTATGTGTGGGATACAATATTCATACGTCCTGTCCACATAGCAGAGCTTTGACTTGTTAGTGTGGTGAAGAGAGATGGGTGTATGGCGTGTGTGTGGGATACAATATTCACACGTCCTGTCCACATAACAGAGGTTGATTTGTTAGTGTGGTGAAGAGAGATGGGTGTACCGTGTATGTGTGGGATACAATATTCATCTTGTCCACATAGCTGAGGTTTGATTTGTTAGTGTGGTGAAGAGAGATGGGTGTACCGTGTATGTGTGGGATACAATATTCATCTTGTCCACAT